TTACTAAAGATATAAGTATTGTATGAGATACCAGGGCCTAGTGAAGCATACACCAAGAAGTTAGATACACGGAATAACGTGTAATCCCATTTAAGTACCAAGTTTTGGTTGGGTTCTAAAGTGAGGAATACCGTTCACTGTATGAGAAATTTGTAAATTTTCAACAAATGGCTTTTAAATTTTGCGTAGTGAATTTAATCGATGGAAGGGACATCTCTTTTTTTACATATAACTATGTAAACATTTGGTTAAACAGAAAATGAAATTGTAAATGGATTCAGGAAAGGAATTCCTTTATCTGTCAAGGAAATGTGAATTACTCAAAAATTGATTAAGTTGACTGTTCAATATTGATGCGTAAAGAGATGGCACAAACCATGCAGACTGGAATCTTGCGTACAAGGTCCCTACAAATGCCCAGTAGGACTGCGCTCTCTTGCCCATGCAATACTCGCTATCCAGCAAGTCCAAGTCAGTGCACACCATTGGAGATTTCTCTGTGCTCCATTTAGGCGTATTATATCGTGCCTCTCATAAATTATCTAATCATGCTAATTAAGAAGCGATGGTTGGTCTATAGTTTGTGAGATTTATGTGTAATACAGTATAAACAGTAAATTTGTGTTAAGTTGAATAATTGTGATATCATTTTCATAACATTAAATTAGAGTTACAATACCAGTGATTCGGACTTATATGACACTTTAATGTGCTGGACATTCGCTTTTATCCTATAGTAAGTAGTTTAATTTTTGCCATTTATCTTTAATTATTTTCCCAATATATTTTCTAAAGAACTGGTTTCATTTATTTGAAGACCAACCTCAAAAAATTCTGAGGTAAGAAAGAAATGTTTTCTTCTCCTATTTAATTTTCTAAACTTTTGTTTCAACTGGCTTGTTTGGATTACTTCCTGTTTCGACACATAACCTTCGAATGAAAAAAGAAGAAACTGAGAAACGATTTCAGAAAATGATAAAACGTGTCAGAATTTTAATTTACTGTGGCAGGAGTCTAGAGATGAAGATAAGTTATTAGAGCGGCTGGAAAAAGTGCCTGGAGTGAAAAGGTTCCTGATTTTTGGAGTCCTGTCACCCGGCCGACTGCCCCGCCTTGCCCGTCAGCTGTATGTTAGGGTCTAGTGTGCCCCATTTTCGACAGTCGCAAACAGCCTGGAAAGCGTAGCAAATGATATGTCTAATTTGTTCGTGTGGTGAGCTTGGATCGATATATTATTTAAGAAAAAGTTTTCAAATTTCTAGACATAACCCAAACCCTTTCAAGGGAGATCAGACAAGGTGATTTTTGTGCAACGCCTTGCGAGCCTTAGGGCCCGTTCCCAATGAAATTATCGTTCTACGTAGATCGATCCAACTCCGTGGGGACTCTTGCTGAATGCAATTAGATAAGCAGAATAACAGGCCTCTTCTTGGCGTTGAGTACAATACAAAAAAGCTTATGATTATACGAGTACGTTGCAAACAAGAGGAGGCTTGTTAATCTGTTAATTTGATTGCATTCGGCAAGAGTCCCCGAGGATTTGCAACGATAATTTCATTCGGAATGAGCCCTTACTACGTGCATTAGGAGATTAAAACATTATTTCTATAGTCTTGGCTGCATTTCAGAAAGTTTCTCGGTGAAAGCGTGATTCCTCTACTTAGTCAAGTGGTTTCCCGACCTCTGTGATATCGCATACTCGGCAGGCGATGTACGAGGATCAGTTTCAGTGACAATTTATGTAGAAACATTAGAGAAAACCGTTGGGTGAGAAACCTGATGACAGATCTTAACGGAAGCAGCAACATATTTGCAGCGACCTGGGCCGCCCCTCCATCTTGTAGGGCCAACCAACCACAGCGGAATGGGTTTTTAAATGCTTCAGCCTTCAGGGAATGAGGTAGAAAAGCAACCGACGCGGTGAAACAAATGAAAAATGGGTTCTTCGCTTTTTGGAACATGTTTTGAAAAAAATGTGGCTTGTTGCAGTTTTCGTTTGCTTTTTTTAAGACTAATTTTTTAAGTCTGAAGTTTCAGTTGTCTTTGTGTGTTGTAAATTAGAGAACTTTTTAAGTCGTTTGCCTATTGTTGACGTTTTCACCTGGACATTTCCTTGAATCAATAACGCGTGATTAGCAATTTACACTTTTGGATGACGCACCGAGTGACCTATGATATCGCACGCACGCGCCAACGAGCTGGACTGCGAAAGAGACCAGATTTTTGGCATTTTCTAGACAAAAAAGTAATTTCATTTGCACACGATTTGAAGCTTTAACAAAACTTAAAACATGCCTAAGAAATGCTGTTAATCTTACCATCTTATCAAATTACCTAGCGCTTGTAAGGTGCCAAACATTTTGAGTAAGAAAAGGCATCACTTTTCAGCTTTGTTATGTGATCGGTCACAAGCACGCGTGGAAAGTGAAGAGGTGGGAGCTAGTGCAGACTTATCGCATATTATGGGCTATCTCAGGTTTCCAAAAAGTTCTTATTCTGGTCTGGAATCTATTTCAGCTTGGTATGACATTTTTATTTTGTCTTTTGCCCTCACAGATATTTCTTTTTCATACCCTCTTTCTCTTTCTCTCTCTCTCTCTCTCATACACACACACATAAATGAAACCATATTCTAATCTATACGTCGGTGTGCTTTAAATTTTAGAACATATTTTGCCTTCGGGACACCAGGGTATGTGATAAATATGACTAATGACGGAGTATTCGGAAGATCTCAATCTACTTATTTCTTCGTCTTCTGTCAAAAACCCCGGCGGGAAGGGAGTATCGGTCAACATGTCAGACCTCGGTTTTGGGAATTTCATGCTGTATGCGAGTATTAATATCATAAGCCGTCGGTGACAGGACGACCCGAGAAAAAAGTTCAAGTTATGTATGTTAAACAAATGAAAGTGCATTTGGGTAAATGTCTGGAGAAGAGGGAAAAAATAATTGTAACTGGTAATACGTAAACAGACATGATTTGTCTTGCTGTTTTGATTTTTGAGAAAAAAAAATACTTGTTTGTGAGCTTTATTCAAGTACGGTTACTAATTCAGTGCACCCAAGTTCACCACTGACCGATTTAATGTTCTTCACACCGCAGTCTGCAGCAACCAATATGGTACCTTCTGTTTAAAAAAAATTACCTGCCTGTGTGCAAATGGTCAAGAGGCACTACCAGTCTAGACCAGCGCTATACCCTCTGACCAGCGTTCGGCCTAAACTTGACCACCCTTGACCGTTTACTAAAGTGTCCAAGGCACCTCGATGTTAGCTAAGCAGTTTTGTATGTTGTTTTAACGGTTATTTCCGCACTCTTACAAGTTTTGTGTAATCTTTTACATAAAGTCAAGGGCGAACGCGCGCGTGCCTAGTTCGCTGGTGCAGGCTTTAGGTATACAAAGCAGGACTGTATTGAAGTGGAATCCAGGAGAAGTTGAGAACTGCCGGCTTATATGGCAGGTGCGCGCTTGTTAATAAACAACATTTAGCAATCAAAAGCAGCGAAGAGATCTTGGGTTACTAAAATGGTGATTTTAGGAAGATAAAAGCTTGTTGGATTTCGCAAGAACATCTTTTTGATGGCCCTCTCCACGGTCAATTACCACATTGAAAAAAAAGCTTCATTTCGGAAAAGCTAATTTACGCCAAAGAATAATATTTATCAGAGATAGAATCAATTAAGTGATCGACCAATTGATTGATTGTATTAATTTATTGTCCTATTGATTAAGTGATGAATTAGCAGTTCACTTACAATCATCTGAAATGATGCCTACTGCCACCTCTCTAACTTATTAAGTTGCCATATTAATATGACACCTGCCCATAACAAGAGAAACATAGTTTCAATATCAGTTGATGATACGGGTTAATTTCAAGGTGTGGAGGCGTATATTTTAAACCTTACACAACCGCTAGTTATTTCGCACTTTGCCTCCTGCATAGATAACGCCATGACACAACGTCCTCAATGGCGTGGTAGACGTGGGTGAACACCTGATGCTGAAGGATAATTCACACCAATAAAGTCACCACTAGCGTTCAGCTGGACTTTAATCCTTGCAATAAACTGTGTCATCACAGCCACAACCGTGACACGCAACATTTTGCCTGGGTTTTAATAAGTCGATTGGAGCGGTGTAAAGGAACTGTTTATCCATCTTTATTCTGTTTTATGTATTAATTGTTTGTGTAGTTTTTTTTTCCAAAACACAATGATGTTTAAAGTACGATACCTGAAATCAAAGTCATTAAATCTGCATGTGTCTGTCATTCGTGACTGTTTAACGTGTTGGGTATATACTCTAAGTCATTCTAATGAGCGTGTGTACGGGAAAGGACTTAATCTGCTCGTAATCGCTCTTTAAGCAACGCTGGCCCTGATCACCTGTCACATCTGTCATGTGAAATATACAAGTGAAATTGACCACAGTAGAGTTGTAATACACACGGCGTCTCGTGGCTGAGTAGTTAACACAATCTGACATCCACCTGTTCTTACCTGGGTGTTCAGCACTTAATCCTGGTCATGAGAAACCTTTGATCTTTACCGCCTTTCGAGGAAACGTGCTCGTCGCGTGCCATGCCCTCGCTAGGATGCATTGAGCTCGCTCATTCGCACTCTTTTACCCATTATCACTACCTAATGAGCTACCGTTTGGCTTGTCTTGATCTATGTATTTCAGAGGATTAGATAATATAACGTATTGAAAAATTGGTTGCCATCATCATCTTCATTTAATCAGCTTGTCGGGGTTAACATCAGTAACGATGAGCTTAAATGAAACAAGGAGTTCATTTATATTTATGTCTCACTTTTTAGTATTAATATTTTCTTTAAATTGTAAATCAAACGTCTTTATTTAAAAAAACATATTAGTTATATATTTTTTGTACTGCAGTCTCTCCATGAGTGTTTTTCCAAAAAAAAAATGTCGCTTTAAAGATACATACTGATGCACACATGCTTACGTTTCTTTTCTGTTATTTTTCAGGTATATTGAATCTTATCACAGTATTGACTTCTATGGCATATAAATGGCCAGCCGATAAGAAAAAACCTGCACAGACAGTGCTAAGCATACAGGGGATTAAAAGTTCGCGATATCTGTGCATGGATAACAGAGGACGTCTGTACGGAGGGGTATGTATTGATTGAATTATCTTGAATTTTCCTTTATTTATACTTTTATGAATTTTTTAAAGATTGGGTTTAGAAATACATCTCTGAAGAAACAATTTCTCGTGTACATGAGCGACTTCTCCATATTGGATTGTTTTGGCAAAGAAGTGCAATTATTGTGTGTTGCAGCATCAGGTCACACTGAGCGGTGACAATATCGAAAACATGTCCCAGTAGAGGCACATCTTCATAATACTTAACTCACTGGGAATTTTCAGGTTAATAAAGTTAACCTCATGACCTTGAGATATTTGGAGGGTATCCCGATTACCCCTTGCACTTCGCTTCCCACAAGAGAGACGAGAATCAAACTGTCCTGTTAATTTACTGCTGGAACGCTGAAAGGTCACTCTTTTTTTTCTCTCTTAATGGAAAGAAAATTCCGTTATTGCGACCAGGGGGTTGGCTATCTGATCTTTCACAGATGAAAGTTAACGCGATCGCGGATTTAAGTCAAATGTATAGCGGAAAAAGTTCACCGTGGCGCTGTTAGTGAAGAAAAAGTATAACTTGGAGGCGCCGTTTCGGATTAGGGAGGTTTTGTTAAGGGTAAGGGGTGGGAACGCTGCTCTAAACGTTGCCCTGGTGGTGATCAGTCAAGTTGTCGTGCGCCCTGCCGTCATGGCGTGTCCTGCTTGCTGAGTCGCTGTAAACAAATGGTTAACTTTTCACCAGTGCGACATCGTTATTTGTGGTTGCTCACTGGTGTGGTTGAACCGCTGGCTCAGACTCACGGACGACCACTTAAGAATTGTACTTGTTACTACACTGCAGTGTCACATAATAATTCGTCTTTAAATAGCATCACGGAACCACAATAACGGCGCGCTCTGCCACCAATGTATTGTTTGTGTGGTTCTGTTATGTGGTTGTATAACTAATGAACTATGTCCTAGCGGAACACCCCTCCCCCCCACCCTTCCCCCTCTCAATGGCATGAATTTCACACCTTATAGGTATCCGGACTATGCGGTTACCTTGGCGTCAGCTGACTTACTAGATCACAAGCTCCATCCGAGCTGTTTGCTTTTACATATTATATCCCTTCTTTATCTGAAGCAGTTTGCACCGAATGCCCCAATCACACTGGTGCCTGCGTATTGATAGGCCATTGTCTTCAGCGGGCGTCTCAATACTCCAATATCGATACTTCAAGATAAGGGCGATAAGGAGGTTAGCCAGGTTGCCTCCATCGTCCACCGATAGATATGGAGGACCTCGTAAAATTTCACAATATATAAGCCAAGTCTGCCTTGAGTTTGTGTTGTGTTTATTGATGAATAAAGGGGGGCAAAATTGCGTAAGGGTAGAGGTAGAGTTAATGGGAAACCGATCAAGACGTGAAACATAATTTTCATTTGATCGAATCATTAAAGTTGGGTAAGCTCCGTCACGTAACAGATCGCCGATTAAAGATAGTCCACCAATACACCCAGATACGTCAACATATCGCCAGGAACAATTAGATTAATCTATCATGTCAACAACGCGCGTAAAGACGGCAACAGGCCGTGCTCGCGTTTGGTGCTTGCTTTAAAGATAATTTGCTGGATTGATATCTATTTTGGCGCTTTGCTGGAAAACTCTGATTCAATTTGTTGTCTCCTGTTTAAAAGATTTGAAAACATGCGTGATATATCCCGCCGTTAGGCAAATTCCTTTACCTTTGCCTTTTTCATTTTCCAACGTTATTTCGCTTTCTTGTTTTTTTACGAATTCTTGGCAAGTCACAATAGTAACAAAATCTTTTGTAATACACCAAAGATTAAAGAAGTTTGTATTTAAAGTCGTGACCTTCCATCCCTTTATTTTTCATTTCAAAGACTACAGTTCAATTGGAACAGTATCTGAATTTAATAAATGTAAAGAGACCTAAAATGTTCTTTATTAATTCATCCAACAAACCATATTTTTTAGGTATCGCATATCGGTGACATTGAGCAACAATTTCATTACACAAATCCTGGAACTGGTGGTATTAAGTTAAGTTAGAACAAGTTTTTCTGTGGTCCCACCAACGTGATCGCCAACACCTCCAATCTACGTGTTGTGTCTAACAATTGTAAAGCAAATATTGGGATTTGATGCAAGTAATCGACTGTGTAGATAGACGCAGGCTTTTTACGTCAGTTTGGGAAAGGTAAATCTTTCAACAACCTTTGAAGTGAAATAAATTGCACAAACATTGCTGATTAGTTCGGAAATCTGCCTGCAGACGATATAATTGTGGCAAAGGGAGTTAGGAGGAAACGCAGCTTTTTACCTCAGTTCTGGTGTATGTTAGCATCAGGGGGACCGGAGAGGGGGGGAGCATGAATGCCTACAAGACTATTTGATATCGAAACATCTATAGTCTTGCCTTGCCTTACGCATGACAAATCAATCGAAACTTTTGGTATTTTTCGTTTAATCGGTTTCCCGGATCTGTTTATGGACTTAATGAGCTTGTCCTTGATAAGGTGGAAACTTTTGTCTTTACTTGAACTGTTACTTCCATCAATATTTTCACAGAGCTTTTTATTTAAAATCGGCTCCCACAAAGACAGTGCAATCTCATGCAAAAAAAAGGAGCAGTTGCACACTTATTTATTTTGTAATTTATTTCATGGGAAGTTACAGAAGAAAATGGAGCAAAATACAAAAAAAAATCCAGACCAAGCTAAGACATAAATGTTTTATTAAAGGTAATATTTGATTACAGTTATCGGCCTGTTGAAGGGGCTAGTCTTGTGCCCAGTGCAGTGCCGAAGGCATGACTTAAGGATTATCGGCCGTCTACATGCTTCGATCTGACTTTTGCACTGAGTATTCCCCAGCCTCTTGTGCACGGGGAGCCCCCGTCGTGAGAACACGGGATAAACGTGCGCGCATAATTCCATAAACAACCGTGTGTAGTCAGAAAACAGGTGAAAATAATAAGTTATAATAAGTTGTGGCCAGCTTTAGAGGCATTGCTGAGGCCAGTTCGACCAGGGGCCGGCTGGCTTTTAGTGTATTAAACACGTGTTTGGTGTAGCATAAAAGGATCTTTCTGAGCTAAGATAATTAAAGGTATAGACTGGCAAACTAAACATAAAAAGAAACATTATTAAAAGGATATATTTGGATCAAAATTTGCATCACTTCAATAATCTAGATTTTCTAGTTAGCCGAAAATTCCTAACTCTTGCTCTGGTAGGCCGAGAGTGAGAAATGTGAATTGTGGGTCTAACCAGGCGACACTCGAAATAGCTGATTTATCAACAGCGTGATAATATTTCTGTTAAGTGGACAAGATATTAAAACAGGAAGGACGTGGGCGCACGGCGATGACTAGTGGTCTATTTCCCAGCAAAATTTAATACTTCTCACATTGTTGTTATCTATTGATTCGATACACGTTCAATCAAACACTTGCTGTATATCCCATTGTTTTCAGGGCCAAGATAAAGCCAACCTTTTCTGTTCCGTTAATAACTCATACACGCCTTTAACCAGTCTCAGCAGACCAGGAAAGAATGCACATAAGTGATTTAATCAACTTTGCCCATTATTCAGCATTGAGTCTCCAGTGATTGTAGAATAATTAATCTAGTTAAGAACTGTATAAAATCTATATCAGACGTAATTAGACAATAAAAGTCGCACATTTCAAACGGATCATCATAATGCAACGGAGCTAGAAAAAAATAAGGGATCAGTAACCCATGTCAAGTTAGATGACCTATAAGGCTGAAAAAGAAAGTGCTTAATAGAACCATATAGCCACCCCCCCTCCCTTTTCTCCCTCGCCACCACTACCGCCACCCCCACCGCCGAAAATTAGGATGAACAGCGTCCGTATTTGGTCATTTGTTGGATGGTGTGCCATAAACCAATAAAGTGGAATTTTAGAATTTTAATATGCTGTCACAGATTTTAAAATATTGAAATTTCGTAGACCCATCAATTCACTTGTTTATAGACACGTTCAAAATGGCCGAAAAAATAAGATTAGCCAGACTATTAAAGAAAATGTTTTTGGCGAAAGAAAGGCCAAAAGAACAACAAGTCGGTCTGTTTTATGTCGCCTTTAGATAGTGTATTGACCTTTGTATTTTTTTTCAGCCATAATCGGTAGGCAATCTGACCTTTTTATTGTCCAATCTCCTATAAAACGTGACCGGAATAAAAGCAAAACATGAGTGAAATGCAATAAGCAATACTTCCATTTATTAGATGTTGATAGGTGTTTGGTTTTCGCTTATTTCCAATACAAAAGTCGAGTTTATTATTACGTGTGTTACAACTGGAGGTCAGAGAGATGTGCTTTCTGATCGTAATGAATTATGGCCCTCGACGCGTCTGGAGCTGCAAACTTCAAAAACGACCTCTCCTGTCTTAATTTATTTCATATTTACAGACTGCAAATAAGTTGCAGATTTATATGTGGTCTTGATAGAGATAAAGAAAACAATATAACATATACTGCCTCACCACATCTGAAAGAAACGAAAATAAATTCTGATCCTTACTTAATATGTAAGTTTTCCTTCTGCGCAACATAATTGTTGATATCTAATTTTTACAAACATATATATATATTTTTTGCAATCATGAACAATGTCATATAGCAGAAATTTAATTTATTTATTTATTTTTTTTTTTCAGATCAACCGAACGGACGAGTGTTTATTTTATAGCAAGTACCTTCCTCACCATTACGAAGTGTTTTACAGTAAAAAGTATTATACAAACTCTACAAGCGGAAGGAAGAGATGGTATATTGCTATGAACAAAAACGGAAGGCCGAGATCGGGACGGAAAACTTTGAGTCAACAAGACCGCGCCCAGTGGATTAAAAAACCCCTAGACGATGTTTTTGCACCAAAGGGAGGTGACGAGAGGGTGTTTGGTTACGTAGGGAGTACGATGGCACCTGTGACAACCGAAACCCCTCATATTAGACATAGTAAACACAACAAAAGGTGCAACAGACGCAAGCGGCGAGGGTGTGGGCGAAGTAGAAAGAGGAATAAGAAGCATAATAAAGACAAAAATAATAATGATAATAAAAATAATAGGGACCGCGCTGAAAAAGAGAGTCAAAAGAAAACAGACCTTAGGGCTGTCAGTGAAGATAGCAAAAAAGACGTAGAAAGTCTTATTGTGGAACTGTCTGGCAATGACAAGTCTCTTGCGAAGCAAAACGAGAAATTGCAAAGCCAAAACCAAAAGACTGAAACAATTTCAGAGCATGTCGGTGGAAATGCGGCGTCTAGAACGGCTCTTCAGGCGGTTCGTCCCACAAACCCTTCCGAGATCCCATGTGGAGGAGGGGGAGGGGACACGTCAAAGTCTCGATCCACGCGGAGGAGGAAAAAGAAACACAGAAAACGACGAAAGAGGAAAGGAAAAAGGCATAGGAAGAATAGAAACAGAGACAGGACTATCAGTGGATGACATTTCTCCACTAGAAATAATGCTATAGTGTACATATGTAAAATATTTATGATTCTCAAGGTTTGACATCATCGAAGTAGGGCCCTGCGCGCCCCCGCATTCGCTAAGAAGAAATGATGTAGTTGTTATGTGATAAGACGCAGATTAGCCAAAAGTTGTGAATCAAAACTGTGTATAAATGCTCACTGTATATAAAAAACATACAGGATAAAGAGTTAAGTACGCAAGTAGCGTATGTCTGTATTAGGCTGAGCCTTTGATCAGATATGGTCTCTTTAAACTTAAAGAGCGGTTCAGGCAGGGGGTTCTATGATTCTTTTCATTACGCATTTCTTTTTTCTTCATGTTGTCTCATAAGTCACTGCCACAGTTAAACTGCACATGACATAGAAGACCAACACCACGATCTCCTTAATCCCGTCAACGTGGTAGAAATACCATGATCGATAACCGACAAGAGTTTATGGGTAGAAAGGAACAAAGTCACGGCTTTGAAACGGCTTTGTGTTTTAATGGGATGGAAATAATTCAAAATTCGAGTTACAGTTAATTACGATGATTGCACCGCCCAACCTCTGTCAAACTGCGTCAATTATTTATGTTATTCCACCCTCCCATGTCGACCCCGCCGCCCCCCTCTGATTTGAATCAAAGGGAATATCGACTCTCCGAATGGCAATGTTAACCAAAGGCGAAGATTGGCAATAGCTTACTCAATCTACAGTAATGATGTAATTGACTTTTTATTTATTAAGTTATTGAGTATATTTATTGTTATATTTATTAATTTATTCATTGGGAATAAGAGGCATGTTGTATTCAGACAATTGTAAAGGAAAAACAGATGGTGCAACTGGCGACAGGCACGTGCGTTTAAATGCATGTTCTTGTGTATTCTGTATGCACTTCGTGTTTTTGCGTTGGTTAATAAGCAAAACGGTCATCCAGTAATAAATATAGATTCTGAATGTCAAAATCAGACTAATATGTAGCCAATAAGAAACCGTCTTAATCGTGCTTTTACACCTGTTTCTATATAAAACTATGTATAAAAGGGACAACTTGTCTATGAAAAATTATTGGATCACAAAATTATATAGCGAGCCAAGGTAANAACCAAAAGACTGAAACAATTTCAGAGCATGTCGGTGGAAATGCGGCGTCTAGAACGGCTCTTCAGGCGGTTCGTCCCACAAACCCTTCCGAGATCCCATGTGGAGGAGGGGGAGGGGACACGCCAAAGTCTCGATCCACGCGGAGGAGGAAAAAGAAACACAGAAAACGACGAAAGAGGAAAGGAAAAAGGCATAGGAAGAATAGAAACAGAGACAGGACTATCAGTGGATGACATTTCTCCACTAGAAATAATGCTATAGTGTACATATGTAAAATATTTATGATTCTCAAGGTTTGACATCATCGAAGTAGGGCCCTGCGCGCCCCCGCATTCGCTAAGAAGAAATGATGTAGTTGTTATGTGATAAGACGCAGATTAGCCAAAAGTTGTGAATCAAAACTGTGTATAAATGCTCACTGTATATAAAAAACATACAGGATAAAGAGTTAAGTACGCAAGTAGCGTATGTCTGTATTAGGCTGAGCCTTTGATCAGATATGGTCTCTTTAAACTTAAAGAGCGGTTCAGGCAGGGGGTTCTATGATTCTTTTCATTACGCATTTCTTTTTTCTTCATGTTGTCTCATAAGTCACTGCCACAGTTAAACTGCACATGACATAGAAGACCAACACCACGATCTCCTTAATCCCGTCAACGTGGTAGAAATACCATGATCGATAACCGACAAGAGTTTATGGGTAGAAAGGAACAAAGTCACGGCTTTGAAACGGCTTTGTGTTTTAATGGGATGGAAATAATTCAAAATTCGAGTTACAGTTAATTACGATGATTGCACCGCCCAACCTCTGTCAAACTGCGTCAATTATTTATGTTATTCCACCCTCCCATGTCGACCCCGCCGCCCCCCTCTGATTTGAATCAAAGGGAATATCGACTCTCCGAATGGCAATGTTAACCAAAGGCGAAGATTGGCAATAGCTTACTCAATCTACAGTAATGATGTAATTGACTTTTTATTTATTAAGTTATTGAGTATATTTATTGTTATATTTATTAATTTATTCATTGGGAATAAGAGGCATGTTGTATTCAGACAATTGTAAAGGAAAAACAGATGGTGCAACTGGCGACAGGCACGTGCGTTTAAATGCATGTTCTTGTGTATTCTGTATGCACTTCGTGTTTTTGCGTTGGTTAATAAGCAAAACGGTCATCCATTAAGAAATATAGATTCTGAATGTCAAAATCAGACTAATATGTAGCCAATAAGAAACCGTCTTAATCGTGCTTTTACACCTGTTTCTATATAAAACTATGTATAAAAGGGACAACTTGTCTATGAAAAATTATTGGATCACAAAATTATATAGCGAGCCAAGGTAATATTGTTAGGATTCAGTGCTTTGAAACAGATTTCTTCAGTTCATATTGCTGGTGCTATTCGACTGACACTGATATCATGTCGAAGAACTGAAATGAAACTGCCAAATATGTTTGACGACAGACTAGACACATGAGTGATCTAAGCTATAGAGACGTTTTTAAAATATAATGTTGTTTGTCAATTGGTATTTTTTATCTGAACGAATTAAGAACGAAAACGGTTTTGTATGTAACGTGTGCGTGGTATTTGGAACAAAATATTGTAGTGTCCTGTTGTCTGGTTGGTAAAGTTTCTTGCGTCTTCATCGTTGAACTTTGCTTTTGTTGTTTAAAATAAAACAGTCGCTTTCAAACCTTCACATTTGACGTAGCTGTTGTGGGAGACGCACTTTACAGTTGCACAATGACATAGGTGCACAATGTTAGGCATCACGTGCATGCGGCTAGTTGCCACGTTACGTCATGCACGTGGCGACAGCACGCGTGGTAAATGAACGATCCTTCGAGCAAAGTAATGAACATAGTTCCCTGCGTAGAGCTCAGCATGCACACAGATGTAAATGTCAAAGAAATAAGAAGTCTATTTTTATATCATAACGAAAATAAATGTTGAGAAGAACTTGAGGGTTGTTATTTTTTGTTTTAAAGATCAAACATGAAAGAAGAATAACAAGTAGATAGGTTAGATTGTGAAATTAATAATGTTGACAGGGGGGAAACCATTTTGATTACCACAACACCCAATCGTTTGAGACAATGTTATCTAATAAAATGAAATTAACTGATGGCCGTAAAGACCAACTATTACATAACACCTACGTCAAAGAAAACTGCACTGGTACTTCCAATGTAACTGTGAAGAAATTGCTAGGACATGATCAGTATAGATCTAACATATTCCATTTGGAATTATTGGTTTATCCATAAAATAAGAAAAAAATTAAGAAGGTAAATAAAATCATATGATTTTTTTAAAATAAAAAATTAAATGCTGGCTTTCAAAAAAGCTGTAGGGCTTATTGTTCTTTACTTAAATACCAATACCACATACAAAACAACATATGGACAGGGACTGTGGGAGATGGTAAGATACATGTATACTGAAAAGGGGGTAAGATATCCTGAACTTGCAAAGTTTTTAAAAGTAAATGCCGCCCGTCTCTGCAACCAGAGTAGCCTGTGGTGTTGGATGGAAATGACGTTTCCAAATCCACAATCCATTGCGCTAAACGAGCTGAGTAATGTTTCTGTCTCAACTAATGCAATTTTCGTGCCAGCCGGGGCAGACTGCGAGAAGCGTAGACAAGTCTAAACCATGATTTTGCCGGGAGCATATTACTTAAAACGTTATACCAATCTGGTAATAGTTGTTAATATATTGAATTCAGATCACCATTTAAACTATTTGGCCCTCGAAGTGCAGAAACCTCAGCTACACAGGATGCTTAATACAAGCTATTAGTTCTCGGGAATAAAGTAGGCGCCGGGGGGACAAAACAAAAAGTTCAAGCATCATTCGATAGTAAATCTGTTAGCCTTATGGCTGTTGGATTAATATGTAACTTCTGTCCAACGTACAAAACAACAGAATGGGTAAATGAAATAAAAAAGCAGTATTTAACCAAAAGACTTTCTTCTTTAACCCAAGATACTTGAAATTTATTGCGTTAACCTTCTTTTTGAGCTAAGAAATGAAATAAATTACTTCTTGAGGGGAGTATTTTTTCTGCAAGCCCCCTTTTTTTGTTCAGAATTCGTACTAAATGAAAGGTCATAGCATATCCTTTCCCAAATATTACAATAAAGGTCTTATTTGAATAAATATTATTACAAATAATGTACATAACACATCAGGAAATTATTTTCATCTGAGTTCTTGCAATGGTTTTCTTTTAACCTTTACGATAGAACTTAGAGAAAGAACAACTAAAAAGATGAAATAGATTTTAAATAATCAGAGATGATTAGACAAAGTCTGGCTAGAATTTCTTTTAAAATTTAGAATTACTTATTTAGATTTAAATCACGTAAAAAGTGCATATATTTTCTAGACCTCGGTGTTACTGATCATCATCCGGGCCAAAAGATGGTCTTATGGGTAGATGAAGTACTGCGTCTGCCTCGTGTCATGGCTTAGATACCTTTTATACTTTCTTCTTATTATTATTCTTTTTCTTCTTCTTCTTCTTCTCTCTCTTTCTCTCTCTCTCTCTCTCTCTCTCNAGATTGTTAGGTTTCAGTGCTTTGAAACAGATTTCTTCAGTTCATATTGCTGGTGCTATTCGACTGACACTGATATCATGTCGAAGAACTGAAATGCAACTGCCAAATATGTTTGACGACAGACTAGACACATGAGTGATCTAAGCTATAGAGACGTTTTAAAAATATAATGTTGTTTGTCAATTGGTATTTTTTATCTGAACGAATTAAGAACGAAAACGGTTTTGTATGTAACGTGTGCGTGGTATTTGGAACAAAATATTGTAGTGTCCCGTTGTCTGGTTGGTAAAGTTTCTTGCGTCTTCATCGTTGAACTTTGCTTTTGTTGTTTAAAATAAAACAGTCGCTTTCAAACCTTCACATTTGACGTAGCTGTTGTGGGAGACGCACTTTACAGTTGCACAGTGACATAGGTGCACAATGTTAGGCATCACGTGCATGCGGCTAGTTGCCACGTTACGTCATGCACGTGGCGACAGCACGCGTGGTAAATGAACGATCCTTCGAGCAAAGTAATGAACATAGTTCCCTGCGTAGAGCTCAGCATGCACACAGATGTAAATGTCAAAGAAATAAGAAGTCTATTTTTATATCATAACGAAAATAAATGTTGAGAAGAACTTGAGGGTTGTTATTTTTTGTTTTAAAGATCAAACATGAAAGAAGAATAACAAGTAGATAGGTTAGATTGTGAAATTAATAATGTTGACAGGGGGGAAACCATTTTGATTACCACAACACCCAATCGTTTGAGAAAATGTTATCTAATAAAATGTAATTAACTGATGGCCGTAAAGACCAACTATTACATAACACCTACGTCAAAAAAAAAAAAAAAAAAAAAACTGCACTGGTACTTCCAATGTAGGCCTAACTGTGAAGAAATTGCTAGGACATGATCAGTATAGATCTAACATATTCCATTTGGAATTATTGGTTTATCCATAAAATAATAAAAAAAATTAAGAAGGTAAATAAAATCATATGATTTTTTTTAAATAAAAAATTAAATGCTGGCTTTCAAAAAAGCTGTAGGGCTTATTGTTCTTTACTTAAATACCAATACCACATACAAAACAACATATGGACAGGGACTGTGGGAGATGGTAAGATACATGTATACTGAAAAGGGGGTAAGATATCCTGAACTTGCAAAGTTTTTAAAAGTAAATGCCGCCCGTCTCTTCAACCAGAGTAGCCTGTGGTGTTGGATGGAATGACGTTTCCAAATCCACAATCCATTGCGCTAAACGAG